TTGTCAAGCGTCGATACCCTTGTAACGTTACTACAGATGCGGCTCTGTTTTGTGTGGTCCTTCTTCTTCACCCCTACTCATAGGCTAAGTGCAAAAGTTGTGTGAGGGGGGATAGTTTTTAAAAAGTTTCACTCCTACCACGTATACGACGCTGCACATGATTTTTTTTTTTTTTTGAAAAAAGTTCAATATTAAAATTGATTGGTTTAAAGCAGGCTTTTATATAGGTTATAGTCATTAAATTTGTACAGGATGGTCCAATTTTTCTTTGCGTGGATGACCTTGCAAAGTTTAAGTGAAACACCCTGTAATTTTTTTTTCTGTTAGAACTTTTCTTCCTGATTCTAAATATAAAGGGTGTCCCAAGACGAACTTCCGCGAACGATTCCTCGAAAAATACATATTAATAATTACCTTTATTAAACTAACAATGGCCATTTCTTTAAACAAATTGTTATCTCCTGTTTGAAATGTACCAAACAAGGATAAGCAAAAATGACGTCATAACAAATGGGTATAATTCACACTACTATTGTGTATCTTACGTTCATAATTTCTCTGGTTTGTTATGCCTGCCGCTCTCCTCCAAAAGTCCATTTCACTTACAACCAGCATTTTTGCGGTTTCTTTAGGAGACAGACGTCTGAACTAGGTATATGGGACTAAGCTTTTGGCGTCGATTTTGTATATTCTAGTTGCTGGAGATATTGCCTTCCATCTTCGTATCTTCCAATCTTTGATTGGTTCGTCTGAAGTTCCCTCATGCGAAATTTTAATTTCTGAATGTTTGTCTTCAAGAGCCGTATTCTTGAATTTCTGAGAGAAGAACTTGCTCGGGAAGTGAATATGGTTCACCTCAAAAAGGTGCATGTCATATTCTTGAAAATGGGACTGTGAAGTGAAATTTCCCGGGAAGTTTGAAGTTCCCATCCTCTCACCCAAGAGAAAACGACATAATCCAAGGATACATGGAAGATGCAGTACAAGTACATTGTTTCATTTTTCGTATTTCTTTATCAATTTACGTGTGATGTACTCTGCTAGGACATCATAGTCCTGTGTAATCAATACTTGGTCATCTGCAAAGCTTAGAGTAGGTATATACACATAAATTGTTTCCATCGAACGAAATTTCCATTACATGTGTCTGCATTTCTTTTTCCACCCCTTAAGCGATTCATCCAAGTATACTCTGAATTCTTGGTGATATGACGCATCCCTATTCAAGTCCTTTAGTTGCTGTAAAGCCCATGCTACCCTGTTTAATCTTGATATTTGCGTCACTATAGAGTATTTCAGCTGCCATCACTTATTCTAGCTTGATATTGATCTTTTCTAGTGCCTCCTATTGCTTATTTAGTGGGATATTGTCACATGCTTTTTTTAGATACACAGTAAATGAAGTTCTTTGTCATACGTCAGTTTATTTCCGAAATACACCAACAATTTTTGAGAACCACTAGTACCATAGTTACTGCAGACATTCCAGGAGAATGAGGTTCACTATTCTGTATCACACTTTCCAAGCACAGCAGATGCGGGAGAGTTGCTGATGAAGTCACTGCATTTGGAACACCAGGCTCGCTTAGACCTCCCTGACAACTTGGAAGTATTTGATTTCTATCATATGGCAAATTGAAAGAAAGTTCCTGTTGCAATTGACTCTCGTGTATTGGCAACAATGGATCATTACTTGTTTCCAAAAATGGTTTGATTTGATATGCACATACCTAATCTCATTATCTAGATTAACCAGGTACGTAGGTGTAGGAGGTAGCTTACAACTTTTTGAACCTTAGCAGGAACCCATTTTTTTGAATTGCCCGAGTAGATCAACACTGATACTCTTTGACCCTCAATGAATCTTCTCACGTTCGTACATGAAGTATTTTTTTCCCTATTCAAAAATTCCGGAAGAAGTAAGGAACATTTTGTTCGAGGAGCCTGTTTGAAAATGAACTCAGATAGTTTTACCCCGGTCACTGAACTTGGAGTATTTCTAAAGGAAAATAGGAAATTGTCTATTATGTGCTGCGAATAGAAACTTTTTTTTTGATGACTCGTTTTCCATGATTTGTTTCCAGAAATTTCTTTTAACAGTTGAGACATATCTTCCAGCTAACCCATTTGACTGTGGGTGATTTGGTGGAGTTAGAGTACACGTAATACTACTTTCCAAAAAGAACTTTTTATATACTTCGCCATTAAAAGGCGGTCCATTATCGGAGACCAACTCCTTTGGGAATCCAAAGATAGAAAAACTGTTTGTTAATGGTACTTTCAAAATTAGTGGAAGGAACCAAGTAAATTTCTAGCCATTTGCTATGATTATCCACCATTAATAAAAAATATAAGTAAATTATTTTTTTGAAAAAAATTAACATGAACTCCCCATAGTCTTCGGCCAAGGGAGAGGTGTTGTTTTTGGAAACGGTGAATAAACCAAACAAGGTTCACATTTTTTAACAAACTGTTCAATATCATACTCAATTAAAGGCCACCAAACTTCACCTATAGCAAGCATCTTCATTCTTATCATCCACACATGCTGCTCGTGAAAAAGCTCAAGGATTGTTTGGCGTAATTGGTAGGGAATAATTACAAGGTTGATCCAGTTGGTACAGCTCGGAAGGAAGCATTGGAATAAATTTTCTATAAAAATTTAACAATCCCAGATAAGATCTCAACTGCGTAATGTTTGTGGGAGTATGGGGCTTTGATAACATCATCAGCTTTGGAACAAAGGGGAGAAATTCCCTCACCCTTTAATTTGAAACCCAAGAAATCTAGGTAGCAGAGGAACTTGCACTTCTCAATATTAACTCGAATATTATATTTACTTAATCATTCAAACAATAGCTTCAATCTTAACTTACATTCATCGAGACATTTTCCAGATAAAATAACAGCATCCAAATAACAAGATGTGCTTGGAAGCCCATTTAAGATAGAATCCATTACACATTGGAACTGTGCTGGCGCAGTTTTTACCCCAAATGGAAGTCTAGTGAAACGAAAAACACCTTTATGAGTATTAATTACTAACAAGGGTTTTGATTTTTCAGCAGCCTCCAATTGAAGATATGCATATGATAGATCAACAACACAAAAATTTTCATCAGCCACACTGTTTATGACATCTTCAATTGAAGGTAATGGGTAGTGATCCATTTGCAAATAACGATTTCACGTTTTTTTGAAATCAACGCAAATTCGATTTTTTTTTATTATCTTTATGAGGGACAATTACAATAGGGCTAGCCTATTCAGCATACCTGACTGGTTGCAAAATCCTATATTAACCATTTTATCCAACTCCTCCTCAACAACCGGTCTCAGCGCATATAGCACAGAATAAGGTTTGTGAAAAACAGGAGTTGCATTATCGTACAGTACCAAGGTTACTTTATGTTCTTTAATAAGTCCTTCACCACACAAAACGTTGGAGAATTCTCTACCCAATCTGGAAATAAAATCGTTTACATAAATGGTTTTAAAGTTTCAGATTCATTAGATATTTTTTTCCTCCAATTTGGGATAAGAAAATCTAACCAATTCCTTTCCATCAAAGGTTTGAATGGTTTATTGGTTTTAACAATAAAAATAACTAAATGAAAATATGTTTTGCTATTTATCGAACTTGCTTGTAAAAACGCTTTAGTCAATAAGTTTAAATTATCCCCTGAGACTGTTTTCACTCTAGTATTACAGTTTACAATAGAAATATCTGGAAAGTTGGAAAAAAAATCATAATCTGATATATTGCAGACGCACTGGCGCTCGTATAAACTTCCATTTCAATGTTTCTATCGTTAATTAAAATGTTTTTGGATAAAGGGCTATTTACCATCAACGAATTGAGCTTTTCTATAGGGTCTTCATAGTCTGCATCTTCCTTTCTTTTTTCTGATAACGACTCGGGTAACGATTCTTCTTTTGATGATGGGGCTGTTGTCAATTCTTTAACATCCCTAGGCTTCCTACACATTTTCTGCATGTAACCTTCCAATCCACAAGCTTTACAACGCCAATTTCTCACTGGGCATGTCAAGGGACTATGCCAACGTCCACAACGATAACAAGATTTTGTGGTCTGAGAATTTCTTGGAGTATACTGTTCAACAATTTTGTTAACTAAACTGGCTTCACCAAGATTTATTATTTTTAATTTATTCTCCATGGCTAAAGCTTCTTTGCAAGCATTTACGAAATCTATTGAGTTATCATCCCTTGCCAATAGCTTTTTTGTATGTCTTCCCTCCATAGACCACAGATTAACTTGTCTCTCAGCGCATCATCAAGAAAAGCCCCAAAATTACAATTTCTGGACGCATTTCTAATGTCTGATTATAAAATCGGATACTTTTTCTTTCTCATTTTGGGTGAGATTATAAAACTTGAATCTGCGACCACCAGGGATACAGGAGCAAAATTACTTCCCAGTTTGGCTATAGCCTCCTCAAACGTAACTGCAGTAGGTGGCTGAGGGGCAACTGAGTGCAAGAAGGTTACAGCAGTGAAGCTGGGTAAACAACACAGTACTTCATGTCTATCTATGGCTATGCACGTTTGAAATAGTTCCGTTAGGTGTTTGTGAAGTTTATTGCTTCCATACTTTATCAGTTGTTTTACCTGTGCCTCTTCCTGCATAACTTTAATGTTTTGTGTCTGTTCTCTTTCTTCTTCAAACTGTGCCTGTTTTTCTATCATTAATTCTGCGAAATATGCTTCCCATTGCGGGGTATTGTGGTAATAATATCCTTGGTTATTGTTATTTTATTTACGTACACAATCGTTTACCTAATAAAATTTACTAATTGCTTTATTTTTCAATTTGATATATGGTTAATCTGTATTATTATTAAAAAATTAAAGACCAACCTTGATGCTCTCGATGCAATTAACATGCAATTTATTGTATTCCTAGATATAATCATATTATATAAAAAAATTACCTACACTCCGAATTTCACGCATCAAATAATTCGCCGGAATAACAACGGAAGTTGAATATTGTAAAAACCGTGAAAACCAACTTGAAAATTATGATAATTAGCTATTATCAGTTAATTGAAACCATAAAAGAGCATTTTTTTGTAAGATAGAAAGTAGTATTAATCAAACACAGAGAAAAGAACAATAAAATGGCGTATTTTAAGGTGTTTTTGACAGTTGTGCTGTTGGGCCTGATTAATAATGTGAGTATCGTTTCTAAATTTAAGCTTTGAACATTTTTCTAAAGAAACTATGTGAATAATTCGAACAGGATTGATTTGATCGGGACAGTAGATTGGTTTTTTGAAAATTAAACTTCTCGATTGAAACCTAAGAGTCACCAGAAGGAGAAAGAGAGATCTCAGCCGTACTCTACAGTCACGTTTAAAATGCCCCAGCGGTACCATTCTGTATACGCCTTTTCGATTTTCCTTGATTGCTTCTAGTAAAAATCATTCGTATTTCTCTCAAAAGTTCCTTCATTCATTCTTTAATTTCTCCAATTGGCTTTTTTTCTTTTTGATATCTTATAGGAGTTATGGGCCGCTTCAATTCCAAGGTCTTTGTATAGATCCCCGGGGAATTAGAGTCAAGTAGCGACTCTAATTCCATTGATGAAACTTTCCATGGACCAAGCTAACCCAACGGCGGATATCGGTTTCAAATTTGTATAAACTTATGATAGCTTTCTGTCGAAATGGTTTTAGCTGCACCTGCTAAAGTTGCAGTCGGATTTGATCCGCATATCGCTCTCTAATGCATCAACGAGCGCACCATAGTTTTGTTGGGAAGCTGGCGAAAGTATTCAATAACTTTGAGGCTTGTTTCTATGTCATCAGAGTTCCAACTATTAACCATTGCAGCAGAGTCAAACTGACGCCTACAAATCGTCTGCAGCCTACCGGTTGCAGACGAATATTTCACGTCACATTTCGACTCTTTAATTTTATTCTGAAGAGTATCCATTTTTTGGCGGAAAGTTCAAACTTCCTGAATATCAGTGCCAAACTTTCTGAAAAACAGTTTTAACTTCCCCACGAATAGTTCCAACCACCTGTCAAACTTTCCCAACTGTTTAACGTACATCTCCCGTTGCATTTTTGGAATAAAGATTTTTAGAATACGGTTTAAATCCATTTTTACTGGTATTCAAAACTTTCCTGAGCCCGGTAATGTTCTCATTTCTCTTCTGATCTCGGATATTCTTCTTGCAGTAAGAGCTAAGTGAACATAACTTCTTCTCTTGCTTTCTGCCTTTGGGCTTCCTCTTCTTTGTTTTTCCTATGTCCTTGGGCATCCTCTGTTTGTCCTTTATGTCTTCGAGCTATCTCATCTTGTCACTTCTCTTCCATATTATTCACGAACTCCAAGTAACATTTGATTACCTGGCTCCATTTCGACTGTTTGCTATGGTGTATTTACCATGGAATACTCTGTATATTTTTTCAAACTTGATTCAAATACCTATAATGTCTGGTAGCGAAGTTAAAATTCCCGTACTTTGTTCAATTCTATTCTCAAATAGAACACGATAAAATATTTTTTTAAAATCACCCTGTGAGCTTGTTTCTCGATATCAAAGCCAAACCAGTAATAGGTGACTATTTCAGTTCAATGAAAGTTCACTGATTGATCCCACTAATTAGGTTGAATCTACTAAATATTTCTCTAATTATCCCCAATTAGCTCGACCTAATTCAATAGTTATCTCACTGATTAACTTTATACGACAATTTTCTTATTTTAAACTGACTGCAACTTACAAACTACGCGATTTGTATATAAAATCAATAAACCGAAAAATCGCTCTAGAATTTTCTTAAATTGATGTTCAGTTGAATCTCATAATCAAAACGAATTTCAGAATATACTCGTTCCCTCATGCTCAGTAGCGTCGATGATTTCGCACCATAATACGAATACGAAAAGTCAAAAAAGACAAAATACAGATATCAATGTCTTATTTGAACAATATATCAGCCTGTTTATCGAGAACAAATTTTGCATACACTTTTTTCCATATTTTTGTTTTCTTCCTAAATTGCGTTATTTCCACAGTCACTGTTACCTCTAATTAATTGCACGGTTCTACTACTTTTCAGGCTTATTGCAAACCTGCTGACGATAACAATAATCAGAATGAATTTTACAACTTTCTCATGGGAAACACTTCAAAAGAATCAATGGATGCTTGCTTAGATGAAGTTGGTATGACCAAAGACGAGCTTCGCGAAAATAGACACAAGCAACTAATTAGCGAAAAGTGTTTGTGCTTGGCCAAATGCATTGCCACCAGTTCTGGAAGACTTGGTGAAGATGGAACCATCAATATTGCCGAGATCAAAGTAAGACAATAAAATTTGTTAAGAAATACCTATCTCAACGTTCATTGTTTATAGTCTAGTTTCCCAGAAAAAATGAAGGATGAACTGGACACTACAATTGCATGCATGGAAAAACTCGATAAAATCACTAGTTGCGCTGGCATGGATGATGTTTTGAAATGTTTACCTAAACCTCCAAAGAAGGATAATTGAGCTTAGGAACCTACAAAATCTCCTAAACTAATGTTGGAAAAATATATTGTTGATGTTTATTAAAAATTAAGCTAAGAAATGCATTGTTTTTGATTTTTCATCCCTTTAATAAAAGTTATTGAATCTGTAAAAATATAGAATTCCTCGTAGAATTCGAATTATCTTATGAAGGAAAAACCAGCAAAAGTTACAGTAATTTGTTTATGAGAATTTTTGCATCAAAAACAATGGAAATTTGGTTTCTGGATGTATAAAAGAGGAAAAATCAAATACGAGAGCTACTAATTTTTTTTTCCAAAGTTATGAAATATTCTGTTAAAGGTTAAATCAATTTTTCTTCGGATTCTACTTAATATGACAAGTATGATATCAATTATTACAAGCTTTGAATGCGTCTGTAAATACTTTATTCTAATGTTGATATGTTGATATGACGTCATCACCTGCCTTCGCCAACCTCGGTCTGTATAGTCTATTTCATTGCAGTTAATAATTCCAATGAAGGTTTAGGACCATTAAACCATTGTAAACCATAGGGTTTACAATGGCGAAGACCCATTCAACTTTCCAATCTTTCTCTCGACAGCTTGATGAAATACTTTCTACCTTTAAATGTGGCATTCTATTTATATATAATTTTCGGTCTATCGCGTTCTACATCTCCCGATTCCAGGTCTCCAAACATCTCTCTCAGTCTGGCTTCGACTCAACGATTTGTGGTGTGGTATTCTCGCTCTGCTTCTTTGTACTTGTCCGAACCAAATCCGCTGTTTGTCTTTGATATCATCTACTGTTATGAGTTCCTAATTTCTTTATTTCCCTGGTTTGCTTTCCTTTAATGATGGTGTTGTATATGTAGTTCAGTTTTGTTTATTTGGTTGATATTTTAGTCACACAGTACTCCGTTTAGTAGAGTGAGGAAAACCACCTATTCGAAATATTATTTCTTCAAATCTTAACTTTTTTAAACGTTTCCTATAGAAAAGCAAATGGTAAATTTTGCAACCATGTATGCGCTGTGAAGTTTTTGGTAACGGGGACGCGCGACAGAAAACGAAAGTACCGATGGAAAATGGGAGACTAGAGAAGAAGGTTGTCTGCCATTGTTCATTATTCAATTTTTATTTTGTTTTAAACTGATTGTTCAATTGATTAGTTTTTCTGTCATAAGGAGCATTCACAGGTCAGTTGAATAAATGTTATTTTGTTTTGAGAGTTCAATTTATACAAATACATACTTTTATTATTTTCATTTTTATGTTTTTCTCTTTGTTTTTTTGTTTGTTTATAACATATTTTATAACATTAGTGTTAATGTATTTAACAAAAATCGTTTCATACTGTGAATGTGAACAACGCACAAAAAAAAAGTAAATTAAAACCTAAGAAATTATGCGCTGTCTTCTGTGCTGGGATTTCGACTTCGGTATTCAGAGCTTACATTAGGGCCTTGTTGAATCTACTAACATTTTTCTACCCTGACGAGCGAATATTCTGGTGAACAAATTGAAAAATCAATCTAGAGATATTGGCTCAAAATACGAACTATAGCTGAGTAGCCTCCCTTACGGGTCCTCAGTACCTGTTGGTGAAACTGGCTAACTAACCAAAAACTCTTCAGTATTGAATATATAGGTGGTGTTGATTGAATGTAGTACGTGGAATTGGAATTTTAGCACAAGAACAAGGACGGTACCTAATTTAAACTTTTATTGACTCACAATTATTAATTAAAATGTCACAGTATGTTTTGATTTTTGAGGAATGTTAGATCGACGGTTTCTCTGCCGTGATCTTTCCCCTCGTGTGTTCCAGGTTGAGAACGGTACCATTTTTATTAATAAATTAGACTATTCACAAATTTTTCGTTTATTTTACATATCACAACTTCCCTTTATATTTGCTACTATCGGGCGCATGTCAAGTAAGTAAAATTGAGTGAGTTTCGACAACGTAGGTCCTATTTGTTTTTCATTTTGTTTTTCAGAAGATTTGGTAAAAGAAGCGATAATAAAAAATTTAACCGTTCAATCTTGCTGAACCAACCCAGGTATGTTATACTACAAGAGATATTGCCTTCCGCCTTGTATTTTCCGATATTTAATTGCTTCTTCTAGGGTTTTCCTCCTATAGTAATATATTCTGTTTTCGTTAGATTTACTTCCAAACCCCATTTCTAATATTCCGCTATTAATGTACGTGTCATGTCATGTGGTACTCTAGGTGATAATCACCTTGTGCAATTGATACTTGGTCATCTGCCAAGTTTAGAGCATATAGGTTGTATTCATTGAGCGGTATTTAAATTCTATTTGAGATTACAATTCATTAATATATTTCCATAATAATATCAGCACCAGAACGTATACTTATCATAATGTGTCACTGAAGGTAATTCCAAACCTCTGTGTTTAAATTTTGCCTAACTTTTTTAAGCCGCGTATAATATGAATGATTTCCTAGCTAATTTTCTAGATCTAATTTCTAGTTTATACTAAAGATGATTGACCTTTTTCTTCTCAGGGTCTAATTTTCTCTAGTCAGGTAGTAGAGCGCGAAAGGATCTTCCAGAATAAGGACTCCTAAAAGCAATGATAATGGTGCCCAAGGTTTTATGCGATAATCTTATGACACTTTTATACAGTTTGAGTAGGATTTTGACGAGTTATAGTAGACCTACAAACGCCAACTAGCACAGCTGTTTCTTCGTGGCTCAAATAAGCAACTGTCTACTAGTGTTGTTTTTATTGGGGATACTAAAAACATTTACTATCTCCTGCACTTAAATGATCGAGGTGTCTCAGAGGATGAACTTTCACACTTTGCAGTTGAATTATTTGTTGAGGATGCCTTTATCTGGTTAATCTAGTATAGTGGTGTAGGTACGTCCTTCGGTCACCGATGGGAGCTCTCACGTAACTAAGAAAGATTTTCTTCCTCATAAACCGATAGAGTTCGCCAGAGGAAGCAGAAGAAGAACGAACCAGTCACTATTTTTATAGGTCAGTTGCATAACCTTTTTAGTTAATTTATCTCTGTGGCAGAAGTCACAAATATCAATAGCATCTTGCATAACACCTGACTGATTCAATTTCTACCTTGACAATGTTGGGCATAAATCTAAAGTGAGTTATTTATATCAATGTAAAAAGACCTATGCAAAACCAAGTTTCTTATTTGGAGTCGATTTAAACGATCTGGAAGTAATATTTTAGGATCTCCAAGCCTAATTTTCCTGATAAGTGAGTATAGAATCGTTGGTATAATGCTATCACACAATCAGCAGACGTTGCTTTTAAGCTAGTTCCTCCAAAAATAAACTAGGAGCTTCCAAGCAAACTGCTTCCAAAGGTCAGGTCATTTGCTTTGCCTTTAATTGTCGTTTGAGCCAACCATAATTTTAAAATTGGAACCCCTCCGAAGTGTTCAAGAGATAGTTCTTGCGGTGCCTTACAGTAAGTGAGACAAGCATTTTTATTCTTCTACCTCTGATTTTCCTTGATTCTAGATCTATTAGCATCGTAGTTCGGTCGGAATACATGAGGATTCTCTTTTTTTGGCGTTAAAGTAGCACGTCACTGATATTTTGTGCAACTGAGCTTTTATATAATGAGTATCTCCAAACCAGACTAATTGCCTACTTTTACATTCTCTAGTTGTTGCTAGCGCGGCTATCTTGTTCGGTGGTTTGTTCATCGCTTCCTGTAGGATAACGAATCTATGAAGATTCTCAGATCTCCATTAACTAGGGGCACGGCAAACATTTCTGGAATCAAAAAAGAACTTGGCAAATTACTAAGTAGGTACCCAAGAAGAAATCATAACGGTGGTCCAAGGATTTTATATGGAGCTATGCAGTTATGAAGAAAGGAACGAACGAGGATATCTCCTGCTACAGTTTCTGTTCCACTATCAACTGACTGCCATGAACACATTCTTTGAAAAGGCAGACCATCGAAACTGGACATGGACCAGTCCGGACTTAGAACGAGATTGAATTTATTATTACGGACAAAAAACGCATAGTTACAGATGTAATGGTACTAAATAGCGTGTCAGTAGGGAGTGACCACAGAATAGTGAGAGCGACGGTGCCATTGAACTCAAGAGCCTAATGCAGAAAACTTATAAATAAAAATAATAACAGGAAATGGATCAATATAGATGGCGCTGAGGGATATCGAAAAACAATAGATAAAAATCTGAAAGACCCTGATTGGTTGTGGTAGCTAGCTATCTTTATCGCACACAAGGATTATTCATTAGCGTTAAACAAGAAACGACCAATACGATATTGGTACTCCCAGAATAAAGTGCTCGTATCAAATATTTTCAGTTTATTTGTCAAATTGTCATTTTATTTATTCATCCAATAATTTTTGAGATATATTCACGTGTGGGCGGGGTTTTTTTACGCCATTTTGAGCAATGATGTCTCCCCACCTCGACCCCGCGAGCAACTCACCTCCCCTGGCCTATGGGTGGTCTTGTCAACACAACAAATATCAGTTTATGAATGGGATGATCCGTCTATCTGTGTTGTGATGTCATTGGCCGGGGTAGACCGCCGACTCGATGAACAGATGATATCAAAGGGATATCTACAAATTGGATCCAAGATGCCCAAGACCGAGCAAGATGGATTAGGTTAAGAGAGGCCTATGTCCAGCAGTGGACGAAACAAGGCCGATTTATGATGATGATGTATAACGTGCCTAAATTAATGTAAAATTACCTTATCAAAATTAATCCATTGTTTTGCAAATTTTCTATATCAAGGACAATTTTTCCATTAACTGTTTCTTCCTTCATAATCAAAAATCTTAATAATCCTAGATCCTTTGACTATGACAAATTTTATTAATTATTTACATATTCGACGAAGGTATATAATTTCTAGCTTGGAATCAGCTGGGTGAGTAAACAAGTTGTTTTTGAGGTCAATGATCTTTCTGGTTAATCATTTTACCGGCTCAATTTTGGTTAAATTCGTTTGAAAGCGCCTCGCCGTAGGAAAGTATTTACCGGTGCGTCATCTATCTGTTTATTGGCTTATCTCTTATAATTTTGGTATTTTTCTGTAATTGCTTCTGTCTCACAAGTTTGCAATTTCAATACTGAGGGCACTAAAATCTTTAGTATTGATATCTTGGGTATCGACTTTTGATCGATAACAGTTTCACTTAAATTAATTTTTATTCACTATTGTTACTAATTGTTGCTACTATTACATTTAGTTTTGTCCTATTTGTTAATATCTAGAGTTGGTAATAGTTTTTGGCACATTTTAACTCCTTCCACAGCTCCTTGGCAAAACATTTTATTTCCAGAATCAGTATCGATTGTCATATTTTTGCTCTATTCCTGGCCAAAATTTTATGAAGTTCAATGTCAAGTGCACCATTTCGCTATCCGAGGTGACTTGTAGAATTTTTGTAAGAAAGGTGTTCTTTTTACATCCAGCTTTCAATTGGAAAAGAGATCAGGGTTAAATAAGTAGTTACGTTTGCCTTTAAGTCTACCCTTTGGGAATTTAAGCTCTGCATCTCATAAGTATTAAGTTACAGTGCTTATCTGTTGCGTTTTTGCCTTTGAATCTGTAACTTAAAATCGTCGTTGTACGGATTTTGAACCAATTGTGCCTGGAAGTGGAAGCCATTTCGGTACCGTAGACCTGAGTACCATTATCTTGCCAGAAAACGCTGTGGGACAGGATTTTTTTAATCTGAGCTTTTCTCGACGTTTGAGAGTTACGTTACGGTCCCATTTACCCCACCGAACTGCTGCTTGGTAGAAATTCAAGTCCATCAATTGGATTCCACCAAAGCCAATCCTTGAGACCTACTCAAATCATCAAGTTCTGAGTGAGAACCAAGAAGTCTGCAGCTGTTTTGTGGTATCGTAACTTAACAATTGATTATAATTATTACCTTTTACCGTTCATACATTTACCTTTTTTTTTTATAAACTTAAATTTGTACCTTTAGTTACCTAATTTTTTTTTGTTGAGAATTTCATACATCTGTCAAAACTGGTATTCCAACAATAAATTGACATGTTTTGATTGTTGATTTGAACCAATCAGATTGTAATTACGCGATAATTTGCACTAGTGCAAATTATCAGATAATTGCATACTAACTGGTGCGAAAACTGGTGTTTTGACATTTTTTGACAAAAAATTTAAATTTTTGATTTATGAAATTCTCTCATTAAATACAACTCGTGCAATGGAAATATATTTATAATTTTCGACAAATTTGCACTCATGCGTTTTTAACTGAAAAAGGCACTCGTGCACTACGTGCACTCGTGCTCTTTTTCAACTAAAAATGCATTCGGGCAAATTTCCCAAAAATTATCAATAATTTCCATTGCACTAGTTATATTACTATTGATAATATTTGTCAGCTTGTCAATTGATCAACCACGTATCAACAAGCTTATCTATTGATTTTCCTCAAACCAGTTGACTTAAATTTCATTTTTTTTTCAATTAACGTAAATTCCATTTATAATTAATTTAGTTGCACTTTTCATAACCTCATTGACCCTATCTGAACTGCAATAACTAGATCCAAACTCAACATTTAGATTTAATAGGTGGTTATAATCAACCAAATTCTAGCAATAAACTGTTACATAATTCTATAACAATTTAATTGAAGGTGTAAACCAGAGTGATATCACAAAGGGTACTAATATAACAAACCGGTTTATATAATATATTGGATTATTGACACTGATTTATTTTATATTGACTTGAACCCGGAATGCTCTTGTAATTTTTAACTAATGCCTAACTAACTCTGGTTTTTCTTACATCCGAATTCAAGTCAATAGTTACTAATATCTAGGTTGGGTTATTGATTTATTATAGGATTTAACCGTTATTCAACTGAAGTGCTTGTTATGAAAATTTACGCTTAATTGAGGTATTACTTTGCATTTAATTCATATTGTTCAACTGATTTGAGTTTGGTATTGAACTACAGTTTTTAATTTCAACTGATTTGTTGACTTTTCATATTTATTACCTGACTATTGAATAACTGATAATTACCTAATTCATTTATGCTGACAAATTATCGAGCAATTATTGTATTTTTTTTATTAAATAAATTTAGCTCTTGGATCTTTACGTATATTATTTGTTTCATTTGACTCTGGATGCTCACTCTTGACTACCAACCAGTGGCGTTACTTTAATTGAACTGAATATTCACTGGTTAATTATTTATTTATTTTATTTTATTTCATTATTTTATTTTATTTTATTTTATTTTATTTTATTTTATTTTATTTTATTTTATTTTATTTTATTTTATTTTATTTTATTTTATTTTATTTTATTTTATTTTATTTTATTTTATTTTATTTTATTTTATTTTATTTTATTTTATTTTATTTTATTTTATTTTATTTTATTTTATTTTATTTTATTTTATTTTATTTTATTTTTATTTTGTTTTGCCTGTATCATAATATCTTGGTCTTTGGGTCCAGCCAACAGCCTGGAGAATACTGGCCATTCTGTCCAAGGTCAGTGGCGCCCATAAAAATAACCCACCCCTACTCTCCGTATTTAATTTCTGAGCTAGGGCTAAATTTGCAACGTCCTAGAAATCCAATAGACCAAAGCTTTTAATTTTATAATTTCAATTAATTTCAATTACATTTCACTTTCTATTCATATTAACAAAAAACGTAGCAGATGATTCAAAAAACCGAAGTAATCACCACGAAAGAAAAGAAGTAGGGAATGTCGGTGCGGAAGAGATAACCAAGTAATCTACAAAAGCAATCCGTCGAATTTCAAATTGAAAATAAGTCAAGCCCTGGTGAAAACAGGATAACTACCGAGAACTTGAAATAAGGAAATAACAGCTGAGAGAAATCTCAAGAATTCTGTTAGGCAAGTGCTTGATATAGGAAACCGAAATATAGGAGTATTTAGAAGCCATATTACTATAGAATAAAGTAGATGTTGTGTAGCAATCTCTCTTATTTCTGGTTTCGGTCCTTTTCCGTGTACCGTTTCTCCTTCAGCAGTTTCTCCAGTCGTTTTTTCGCACTACGAGTTCGCCGTCTATCTGCGTGTTTTTTTTTTTTGTCTTTGAGGGGCTTGTTTGTGTTCTTGTTCCCTGAGTGTACGCATTTGCTAGTTAGTTTCTATGTGATATTGTCTGTAGCCTGTCACTTGATATTCCGTTCCATCTGCGCTTCAAGATCTGAGACCAGTTTTTGGACCATGATGACAGTGCGGACGACTGTTCTTTTCTTTTATATGTGATACATTGGGTTTAGCTAACTATTCCTATGTCTGTTACTTTTTTTTTCATATTTGGTTGGATTTACGTTAGGAAGCTGTTGCAATTTTCATAAGATATTGTTCTGAATTGTGTTCATGTTACATAAATGGAAAAATATATCAATGTCATATTATGTTATCATCAAAAAATTGAGCCTGTATTTGGTTCACTCGGAAAGAAGATTCCACCTTCCACCCAGCCTTGACTGAATGTAACACAAATAAAAGTGTGCTAATTTGTCGACCAATTTGGACAGTTTAAGTTGACATCAACTTTCGAATTAAATCTATTTGTAAACGCAGTAATTAGGCCGGAATCAAACGGAAGTAAGCAATGTGTAAATTACTATTGAAAATTTCAGAAGGCTGCATTGTAATATAACTATTTAAGGTGTATATAAATAGTATTCGAATCAGTTGTTGATGAAAAAACATCATACTAACAGCTACTCAAAAATGTTCCAAAGCACCTTGGCAATTGCGTTACTGCTAGGCTTAGCCTATCAGGTGAGTTTTTTTTTTTTAAATATACTCCTGGACAAAATTATCGCACCACTGCTTATGGTGATGTTTATGTGCAGTGGTGCGATAATTTTGTCCAGGAGTATATTTAGATAATATAATTTTGAATGATTTTGGCACATCTAATACACTCTTTCTGAAAAATCGAGGAATACGAAAATATAAAAAAATTTACTAGCTCACATATAGACAATTTTAACTGTGTTGAAGTAGAGTAAGTCTCACGCTTTTATTGGTTGAGTTTATGCGTTATACTTTTTTCGCCTCCCCTCAAATAACTAGTTTCTCTTCTGTCTATATGAATACCCTCATCTATGCAATTTTTCATATAACACTATTGCTGCCTTCTTTTTTTAGATGGTCAGTACAGAAAAAAATTCACCTGGTGAGTTGTTCATGCGCAATGTACCAATGGAAAAAGTAGAAAAATGTGCTGAGGAACTTGGTTTGATTAAGGAAGAAGTTAAAATGTATTTAGGTACTGGTAACAGAGTACCAGTTGAAAAAGAATTATGTTTGCATAAATGTGCTGCTACTAGTGTTGGAGCTATCAAGAATGGAAAAATGAATTTGGATTATATCAAGGTAGGCACCTGCCATGCTAATATAAAGTTAGATAAAAAAAAATCTCTTTCAGGCAAATTTTCCACCAGAACTCGAAAACGATATGGACAAAATTGTGGGATGTTTTGAGAAAATTGATTCAATTACTGTTTGCCAGGACATGCTTCAAGTTCAAAAATGTTTGAAAAAAAACTAAAGATGATTTAAATATGTGATAATGGTTTTAATAAAGCTGAATTAAAATATCAAATATTCAAATTAAAAATAAGATTTATTATCTTAAAGGAAAAAATAGTCTCATTGGCCAAGCAAATTAATAAACTTAATGTGAACCTCATAACTGATGCCAAGTAAGCGAAATATGATGATTGCAACTTGCGTGCGCAATTACTCATAGCTCTAGATTTCGGTACTGTTTATTTTGGCGGATACCGTACATAACATATTTAAATGACATACTGACAAAGGAAGATGACTTAAAGAAACCAGTGCGATACCAAAATCAGTAAAACGCGGGTCGCGAGCAGACCAAGGGGTGTGACTAGAGCGACGTCTATGTGTGACCCAGGTCATTGCAAAGTCAGAACAGTGACAAAACAATATTAAAATATACCCTTATTTCCACTCCTTCCCCTTCCGCCCGAACTCTCTTCAAATACAAATCATCAAAATAAACTGAATAAGACAAACATAAACAGGCGAAGAGTTAGACTAGCAAGCGCTAAGAAGTGTCTGTTCTTCTCATCGACCACCCCAAGGAAGTCCCAACGATAAGCATTCTCCAAAATGACGGTTTTGCATAGGAAAATTTGACTCCAAAAAATACTCACCATCAAGTTCCCCAAAAAAAAACGGTCGGTGCAAGAGGCCACCAATGTTCATAACTCTAAGTGAAGATTGGGTTCTTGTTGTTGACATTCATTTTCAGATTTAAACAATCTGGGTTTCTTAGGGACTCTCTTTTGATTTCCAAATCCTCTAGAAAATCTATTCTGCGGGTGTTGTTACTTCTAAGCTCATGGATTATTTTGGTATTAGAATTAGGTGAAAAGTTATGTTTGGAGAATTGCATGTGGTGTCCGAAAACTGATTTACTCGGTCTATCAATGTGTTCTTTAATTCTGGTGGTAAGATCTTTAGTGGTTTTGCCAATATAAGTACAATTACAGTCGTTGCAATTAAGCTTGTATACTCCGCTTTTTGTAGTATGATGTAAGCATGGCTTAGAGTTGACTAAGTGTGAGCCTAGAGAATTTAAAGACTTGGAAGAAATTTCGAGGTTTTCGAGAAAAATCTAGGGTTAGAAGTAGGTACTCTGTGATCTACAGGGTATTCGACCGACAACGCTTGACAGGTGACAGACCTCGCATTTTCATGAAAATTGAGATAGGAACGTGCAGCCTTAAAGTGCTTAGTTTTCAAGATACAGGGTGTCAAAGTTTTACTTTTATTTTGGATTTTTGTCAATTATTCCTCAATAAAACGACACAGCGATGCGAAATTACGTATCGGGGGGTTTGTTAGGGCGAGAAATACAAATTCATTCACGGTCTTGATATCACTACTAGGGGGCGCCACCTATGGCACATCGAACTTTTTAAAATTGGGAAAACTTTTTTCCAGTTTGCTGCATCGATTTAAATTTAGGAAAAATCGATTATCCAACCTTTTTTACGTAAGAAAGGTGTATTTTGTTCAAGTTCCTTTACTTCTAGGAACTTGTTACCGAGATAACCTTCATTGAAATTTTGAATGTCGGAATTAATTGTAAGAATTTGAAGGAAAAATATATTGGTATTCGGGCAAGAATAAATAAAATAAACAAAATCAATTGGGCGAACCTTTGATGCTAAACTGATAGTGGCAAAACTTCATTCATGTGTGAAAGATTACCTATTGAATTTTCTCATTAATTATTTTATAAGTTTAAGTTTATTCTGTTCATAAATTATGGATCATTCCTTCGATGAGTTTGCTGATATGCTATTAGTATGCGGAGCAGCACGATTCTACGAAGAAAAGTTCCCGAATCGTAGAATACCACATCATTCAACATTTAATGGTGTGGAAAGAAGACTTTGAGAAACGGGTAATTTACTTGTTACAAGGAATAATGCAGGTTGGCAAAGAACTACTAGAAGTGTCCGTGTAGAAGAGGCAATATTAGATAGAATTTTTGAGAAGCCATCTCCAAGTACTAGAACAACAGGACGGGCGTTGAACGTGAGCAAATCAACTGTTCATGAAGTTTTGCTATACCCTTATAACAAATTATCGAGTGCATGCATTAGAACCGAGGGATTATCCCGTGAGAGTGGATTTTGCTAACTGGTTTTTACAAATGTGGCGTGAAAATCAAAATTTTCCCAAATATGTATTATAAACGGACAAGGCAAAATTTACGAGGGAAGGAATATTTAATTCACGTGTGGGATGATGAGAACCCGCACGCAATTCTACAACGGGAATATCCAATATAAATTTTCCATAAATTTATGGGCAGGACAGGAATTATCAATGATGTATTGGTCGGTTCATTAATTATGCCTGATAAATTAAATGGACCAATTCTGAGCTTTTGGAAAACGTGCCGATAGCCATTAGGGAAAATATGTGGTTTCCGCACGATGGCGTGTCTGTCCATTTTAATGTAGGGGCTAGAGATTATCTGACCGAAAGTTTCAGGGAAAAGTGGATCGGTCAAGGTGGACCACATTTTTGGCCTACTCGATCGCCCGACTTAAGCCCAATAGACTTTTTCTTGTGGGAGTATTCAGTTCTAAGTTGAAATTTGAAGGGTCCATCGGAATATTGAGCTGACGATTTAGGTAACAATAGAGAGCTGTCATTTTATGTGATGGGAAGATCTAGGGATCATGTGGTCAGTTTGAGTGAGCTTCCTAGATTGAGTATTCCAGCCTATTGAAGATATTTTTGATCGAAAGGTCTAGGAAATTTAGGGGTTTTTCAACTTCGGTTTCCACAGTGTACTCAAGTGAAGGGTGCAAGGTGTTGAGGATCTGGAGAATGGAGTCAACGGTATTTAGATTTGTATCGATGATGGCGAAACAATCATCCACGTACCTTGCCCAGAAGACCAAGCCATTGTTATTTAGGACCGGGATCAGTGTCTTTTCGAAAAAGTCCAGGAAATAGTCATGCAACTTAAGGAGTTGCCCATAGCTAGGCCATGTGGCTGTTTGTAGGTTTTGTTATTGAAATTAAAGAAGTCCTGACCAAGGCAAGCGGAGAGTAACTCCTCTATAGTCGTCACTAGTTAATTTTCTATATCATCACTTCGTAGCAAGTCTGTGATGATGAGAATGGTCTCCAGTTTAGGAATGGAGGTATACAAGTTGGTTACATCAAAGAATACCATAATATGAGAGTCTTGCATGTTCACTGAGTTCAGCTTATTAACTAAGTCGACTGAGTTTTTTACGGTAAAGGTGGGTTTAGTGGTGACTACGCTGGCCAAAAAGGTATTCAAGATTCAAGAAGCTAGGCAGAAATGAAACCGGGGTGTTACAGAAACTATCCACCGGCCTGATGAGCGTGTTCACTTTGTGGATCTTGGGGAGTCCATAAATACACTAGTTGGGTTGCTTGGGAAGGGGATTTTGTTTTTATTTTGACTCTTTATTAAATCAGAGTGGTTAGTTTCAGTAACACCCCGGTTTAATTTCTGTCTAGCTTATTGAATGCCCTTTTGGCCAGCCTAATCACCACTAAACCCACCTTTACCTTAAAAAACTCAGTCGACTTAGTTAATGAGCTGAACTCAATGAACATGCAAGACTCTCATGTTATGGTATCCTTTGATGTAACCAACTTGTATACCTCCATCCCTAAACTGGAGACCATTCTCATCATCACAGACTTGCTACGCAGTGATGATACAGAAAATGAACTAGTGACGACTATAGAGGCTTGGGAGAGGCTACGCTTGCCTTGGTCAGGACTTCTTTATTTTCAATAACAAAACCTACGAACAGCCACATAGCCTAGCTATGGGCAACTCCTTGAGTTGCATGTTGGCTGACTATTTCCTGGACTGGACTTATGCGAAAAGACACTGATCCAGGTCCTAAATAACAATGGCTTGGTCTTCTGGGAAAGGCACTTGGATGATTGTTTCGCCATCATCCATACAAATCTAAATTCCGTTGACTTCACTCTCCAGACCCTCAACAATTTGCACCCTTCACTTGAGTTCACTGTGGAAACCGAAGTTGAAAAAACCCTAAATTTCCTGGACCTTTCGATCAAAAATATCTCCAATAGGTTGGAATACTCAATCTATAAGAAGCTCACTCAAACTGACCAGATGATCCCTAGCTCTTCCCATCAGTGCCCCTCACATAAAATTGCAGCTCTCTATTGTTACCTAAATCGTCTGCTCAATATTCCGATGAACCCTTCAAATTTCAACTTAGAACTGAATACAATAAAGAAAATAGTAGTAAATAATGGCTATAATCACACTCTAGTCGATAATACTTTGAATAAAATCAGGAACAAGCATGAAACAGGCTCAGCTTATAGATCACAGAGTATTTCCAACCCTAGATTTTTCTCCATTCCTTACATTGGCACTGTCTCAAACAAAGTTGCTAGAACCCTCACTGATAATATCGCAAACCTCAAAATGTCTTCGAAGTCTCCAAATTCTCTAGGCTTACACTTAGTCAACTCTAAGCCATGCTTGTGTCAATTTCGCGTAAAACACACAGGAGTGTATTTTCTACGACCCTGCGCCGACCGATGCAGATAGCCGTTGAAGAATGATTTGACGACTAGATAACTGATGGTTCATATGAACGTTGCATTTTTACCAGTTCCGTGTTTTACGCTCAAAAAGTCTATGTCTTGTGCCGTTAAAAAGGGACCTTGAGTGCCTTACGTTGATGCTGATTCGTTGGTGGTTGTGGAGAAACATATACACAGCTTATAAGAAAACCCAGGTGAGTGGGAATATCTTTTGTGTATTCCGACAACCCTATGGTATCATTTTCATTACCTACTATTTCTATTTGTTTGCGCGATTTTCCAGTCGCAGTCCAGTTTACTCAATTTCAAATACTATTGGGTAAACATTATGCATCATCGAATTTGTAATTTCATGAACCTCTCAAAAATAAAAATAAATAATAGGGATGCCATTTGAAAAAAAAGTCAAGTAAATAGGAAATTGTTTTGTCAGCGGATTTTTTTTGAATATTTTTGAAGAGAGCTCAACTAGCCATTAATAGTTGTTTTTTTTTTTTTTTTTTTTTTTGAAAAAACGA